ATATATATATATATATATATATATATATATATATATATATATATATATATATAACATATGATGAAAAGAACAGCATATTTTATATTAGATAAAAAAAAGAACAGCATACTTGGATTTACAATTGTGTAAACTTACATTGGTAATTTGAATTGACGCCGGAATCTATGATAGAAAGAGAGAGAGAGAGAGAGAGAGAGAGAGAGAGAGAGAGAGAGAGAGAGGTTGGCAGCTGCGCGTACAAAACGCACGCGTCAAAAAAATACTTTACAACATTTGTCAATGGAAATTCAGTAAGTTTCTCTTTTTGTTTAAAAAAAATAAAAATAATAATTATATGTATAAGGAAAAAATAAAAAGGGGGTGGGGGAGGGAGGATATACTTGCGTATATTTAGGGGAAAAAAAATCTCTATGAAGAAGAGAAAATTGCGTATCGAACGAACGGACGGGAACGGACGGGAACGGACGGCATGATCGAAATTTCGAAGGGGCAGCAGAGCACCACTGTTTTATAGCAATATCCCAGAGTGCATGCGCAGAACGCACTTCTTGCACGGAAAATACGCGTGTACTCTCTTTGGTAGTGCGATGTAGAGAAACGGGGAGCGAACATAGTCGAACCTTGCCGAGGGTCGAGCAGAGCAGAGCAGAGCAGAGCACAGCAACATCATCGACGAGAGGAGTCGAGGGAACCACCGCTCACTTTGCTTCGAGCTGTCGAACGCGACGGGTGTAAATCCTATTCTTCGCGTTGCACTTATATCTTATACATATATTTTCCTGTTTTTTTTCTTCTTTTCTTTATTTCTATTTATCAAAAGAAATACATTCGCGCTTCCAATATTTAATAACAAAAATCGTCTTTCATTTCATTTCGTAGATTACATAGTTTTTGTAAATTCGACGTTTTTAAATCTTTCATCGTCAACAACATCGTCATCGTCATTCCCTTCGAACGCGGATCATTATTTTTTTAAATCATTTTAACAACAACGATATAATATTATTCCCTTCTAGTTTCGATTGTTCATAATCGAAATAATCGTGTTTTTCTTCTTACAATCTGACAAATAAATTCCTCACGTTYGTTCGTTCATTCGTTGGTACTTTCCGAGAGATCGATTTTCCTTCCATAATTAACCTTTAGTATATTTTCTCGATCATAGAACACATAAAAAGACAAGGTGTTCACTTTGATAGAAAAGCTTGTTCATTTTCTTACCCTCTTGTTCCTCGAATGCCGTTCAAATCAAATCTGATCGTTCTCGTTTGGAAATGTCGATCTGACGGTAGACCTGGATTGTGGTTGCGATCAGAATGGAAAAGATTGAAGCTACGAAACTTTAAAATTGCGTGATATATATATATATATATATGTATATATACATATACAATAATAAAATTGTATCGTGATCAGAGTTCCTGTTCACAAATTAAAAAAAAAACAAAAACCTAAGAGACTTGCTAAACAAAATAAAATAAAACGAAACGAAACGAAACGAGACGAGACGAAAGTTACACAAAATAGGGAAGGTAAAAAGCAAGAGGATAAGAAATAAATGGGAAAGTATAGAAGGGAAGAAAAAGATAAGGAAATAGAGAAAGGGGAGGATATAAGAGGGGTAGGATAAGCAACGGCGGCCAGCCAGCCAGGCAGCCAGAGCAACCATTTACACCTGGCTCGAGTTCCTCGGAGGTATATAAGGGACACAAGGTGCGCATGGTAACCGAAGGCAGGCAGGCAGGCAGGCAGACAGAAGCCTTCCCTTCCCCTTTTCCTCTCTTCCTTCTCCTCCCAAGCTAGCTTTGAATCAATAATCTCCGGTCACGATTATATATAGGCTTTCTTTTCCTCTTTTTCTCTCTTTTTATCTCTCTCTTTCTCTCTCTCTCTCTTTCCTTTTTTTTTATTTATTTCACGTCTAGGCAGGCATCGGGAATCGCTAAAATATCGGATATAAACATGGATTCTAAATCGCGATGATAAAGGTATTGCGAAGGTTGAGATACGCAAGATAAAAGTGCGCGTGTGAGAGGACAAGAGAGAGAGAGAAAGAGAGAGAGATAGAGAGAGGAATGCGCTTTTTCTCTGTCTCCCTCGCACGTAGAAATTGATTTTCCTCCTTCGTATCCTTCTGGCCTTGTTCGAGCAGTGCGCCGGTATCAGCGCCGCGAATTATTGATCTCGCTATATCTCTCTCTTTCTCTTTTTCATCTACTCCAACGTTTATGGCATTTTCAAAGAAAAGAAAAATAAATAAAAAAAAAAAAAAAAATAAGCACACAAGGATATACGATAATCGAGAATCGAACGTGTAACAGCGCGATGAAGATAAAAAAGAGGAAGATGGTCGTTAGATTGTTATATATTTTTTAAACAACATTTTTTGTTTGTATATTTCTCTTCCTTTCTCTCTCTCTCTCTCTCTCTCTCTCTCTTTCTCTTTCTCTTTTTCTCTCTTTCTGTCTTCCATTTGATTTATAAAGAAATTTGTATTAATTTGTTCTTATCCTTTTGTTTTTGATTTTGTTTGTTTTCTCCAAAATAAAGGATGTCTTGGATCAAAGCTTGGAACGTCACGGGTCCGTCAAGCCGGCCGGTGATTCGACGAGCATGATCGAAAAGTCGAGGAGGGATCCTACTTCGGATTGTGAGGAGATGGAGGTCGCAGCGCGGGAGATTCAGGGAGGCCTAGTAGAAGCTACGGATCCGATTACGGATAAGCAGCAAGTGAAGGAAACGGATGGGAATAATAAAGATGAAACAATTGCAACATCAACAACAACAACAACAACACCACCACCATTGTCAGTCCAACCGTCGTCGCAATCTCCACCATCACCACCACCACCACCACCACTACCACCACAAGGATCATCAACAACAACAATTTCCAGCGAATCGAGTTTTACACTTTCAGAGAAGTTTGTTCCTGAATGTCTTCTTCGAGAAGAAGAAGAAGAAAAAAATAAGCAGCCCGATGAAAATGTTGAATCAAAAACAAAGACGCCCAATGGCGTCGTTTATCCAACTTCTTTGTCAACGGCGTTGTTGCCATCTTTGTCTTCCCTGTCTTCGTCGTCGTCGGCATCACCGTTATCGAGAAAGAGGCCAGCCGGTAGCGACTTCCTGTCGATCGAATCCGATATTAAGAGAATCGGTGTCGAGATGTCGGAAGAAGAGACGAATCAGTTGAGAAACGATGTAAAGAGACTTTCGCCTGTTGAGATAAGTCTTCGCGAATGTACGTTAGGTGAGATTTTATTGACTCCAGATTCTCGATCATTTAATGAGAATGACAACAATAATATGTCAGAAAATTCACCATTGTCTTCTAATAACAACGTATCAAGAAGTCGACGTAGTAGGCATCAATCAATTCCATTAAACGACATCGTTACCGAAGTAGATGAAGATACTATGTGGACACGTTCAAGGTCTAGGGTATTTAAAATAGACTCTACGATTGAAAATGAACAGGAGTGCTGTACAAGTAACACCGAAATCACAGATAATAACGTTAAATGTAAATTAAATTATATCAAGGATAAAATCAATGGTAAGAATGACGACGAAGAAGACGACGAAGACGAAATCAATGAACAAACTTCCTGTTGTTGGTCGTCGTCACCGTCATTAGACAAGAAAAACATTTTTTCTAGTGAAGATATTGATAGGGTCATTGATGATTCTAAGCCTGAAAGTTCTAACGTTAAAAATACGAGAAAAGAGGATATAGATTCTCTGCGTCATTTGGTTGTCATGCTGGATCGTGTAGACAAAGAGATCAAAGATAAGTCGCCGAGTGTTAAGAAATGTCAAAACAACGTTCTTGGTATTACAAAACTGAGGAAGATTCCTGAAGAAGAAGAAGAAGGAGAAGAAGAAGAAGAAGAAGAAGGAGGAGGAGAAGAAGAAGAAGAAGGAGGAGGAGAAGAAGAAGGTGAAGGTACAACTAAGAAGGATAAGGTGAACAAGAAAACACAAAAGAGTACTCCGTTACCTCGTAAATTGATCGTAATGTTAAATCGTATAGACATAAAGGAAGATATTAACAAGGAAAAAGAAAAAGAAGAAAGTTTTATTCGTAGTAATACAGTCGAATCTATTGATTCTCCGGTAAATAGTCGAAGAAAAAATGTCAATTCAATGGATAAGATGTGTACTCGTTCGTCAACCCTGCAAGAACGGTTACAGGAAAACAATGTTGTAAATTCGAGTGATGAATTCGCGGTAAAAAATAAGGAAAACAATGCATTATTAGATAATCATTCTCTAACCGAAGATCAACATCCTGTAAGGGAGAAGGAAAATAGTAATGTCGATGAGATTAAAGATTTACAGCCAGCCGAAGAAATGGTTGAGGGAATGAAAATTGGAGTATCAGAAACTCCGAGAACACTTCCTTCTTCGACGACGTCTATTGTGGATAAATATGACAGTCAAATTTCATTGGAGATAGATGAATCGTCATCTAACGAAGTTAATCATTACTCTATGAGAAGTAAAACAAAAACTGTCGTTGAGGAGCTTGGTGAAAAGGAAGAATTACGAATTGAAAAAAATATTACGAGGAGAGGTAGCGTGGTACAGATATCTGGTAAAGACACGATTTCTTGTGGTGTACCAGTGGTTATCAAGAAAATTGAAAAAGAGATAGAGATAGTAGTGGTAGCGTCTTCGTCGTCTTCATCTTTGTCAAACGAAGATGATCGTCTGCGAAATCTCGACTCGTCTGATTTGGATTCGTCCGAGACAGCGACACCAGGCTCACCCGGGGAAACACTGGAAGCTAATACCGATATCCAAGAAGCGATCGATACCGAAACAGAAACTGAGACTGGATCAGACAGTTCCGAGTTGCCATCGTCAATGTCGACGAGAGAAGATATCACCGATGCAACCAATTGTCCGGAAAATGAGAACCTCTGTTGCGACGAGATAGCTTCCGAGATAATAACCAGACTTGAACCAGAAAAGCCAGAACCATTTACCGAGGATTCCGCGGAGAGTTTGGCATTGACGACTGGTGCAAGAGACGAAGTTAGATCCGATGGTAGCGACTCTGGCCTTGGAAGCGAAATACCTGGAGATCCTGGACCAGCCCCGGCTCCAGAAAGCGATTCTGAGACTTCTTTTCTCGACAGAATACCAGATGATATTCTATCCGACAAGGAAAAAGGTGAGGAAAAGTTGTCTTGTTCTGTTTCTAATATTTCTATCTTGCTCGACACGAGCAAATACACTTTTCGATTTTATCTTATCAGTTCGCGAAATCCGCTTATCTCGGTCGATCGACAAGGTCGTTGTCGTTATCGTTGTCGTCATCGTTGTCGTCTTATTCAACACGATCGATCCATTTAACAGTTATCTATATACGATATTTACTAGAATCGATCGTTTCCACTTTTGTCAAATCAATAGTTTCATGGTGATCTTTTTTACGAAATAAATGCATGACCTTAAAAGGAGATCGTATCATTTCGCCTGACGATAATCACAATATCTTTCAAGCTCCAACTTAAGAAGGATCAGCATTTACTCTCTCATTTTGTACCTATCAAATCGTGTGTAATATCAACCAGCACCGAGCTGCGCTATACCTTGCCATCCGGCAGAATGGGAGAAAAGAGTATCGATAAGTCTTGCATCGAATCAATTAACGCGACGTTTACTAACTATTTTATCATTCTCCTCTCTTTAGCTGTTAATCAATTGGAGGAGGCTTTTGTACCGGACACGAGTGTCTCTGGGGTATCGCAAACGACATTAACGACCTTTCGAAGCCCTTCGAAAAGCAATCTCAAACGCAGACTGACCGACTGTATGGAAGAAAGTGAACCAAGTCCTAAAAGAAGCAATACTACCGAGGAGCCTATCAAAAAGAAACGAAATATTCATTTTGATGCCGTCACCGTTTACTACTTTCCTCGAGCGCAAGGTTTCACTTGTGTTCCTTCACAAGTAAGGATCATTCTTTTATTTCGTTCGTTGACAGTCACGATAGTTTTATATGTTCCTTCGCAGTAGGGGTCACAATTCTAAAATAAGAAATGAAATAATATAGTAATACTGGTCATGGATGATGACTCGTAAGATTCTACTGAAAATACAAGCGTTGTTGGTCACGGCTTTTGACCATCGTGACAGTCAACGTGTTTAATACATTCCTTGTCGCTTAGTATGGGGCATACGCCCCACTTTGAAATATTTGTTATTTATATGTTGGGCGTATGTACAATCTATGCGCCACGTCACACAGGAAATCAATTCGATACGGAACGTGTGAATTGTAAATCATAAAATACGATTTGTTTTTAGGGCGGTAGTACTCTAGGCATGAGTGCAACGCACACGCACGCGGAAAGGTTTTCTCTTTCGGAGCATGCGGCTGAGCAAAGGAGACTGCATAGGGCTAGATTGGCGCAACTACGTTCCGAACGTGCAGCTAATTGTACTACAGAGGCTGCTTCTAGTTCGGAAGATCCGAGCGATGATACAGACGAAGAACCTAGTGACAATGAAGAACTCGATATCGATAGTTATTATTTTCTACAGCCTGTACCAACGTGGCAAAGACGAGCGCTTCTTCGTGCAGCCGGTGTACGTAGGATAGATGCCGTTGAGAAGGACGAATGTCGAGACATCCGTGCAAGTCGAGAACACTGTGGCTGCGGATGCAAGGGATACTGCGATCCGGAAAGTTGTCCTTGTAGCAGAGCGAACGTCAAGTGCCAGGTACATTTATATGGGCTTTGTGAATAAATTTGATCAAGGAAAATGGGGGTCTTTATGTCCACTGTAGATGGATGGACAATCTTAGCAATAATAAACTTTTTTTTTGTATATTTTTGGAATTCGTCTTTATGTGCGTGTATTTGTGTTTAGGTCGATCGTGCCGGTTTTCCTTGCGGTTGTACCCGGGACGGTTGTGCCAACAGCTCCGGTAGAATAGAATTTAATCCGGTAAGAGTGCGGACACATTTCATACACACATTGATGCGGCTCGAATTAGAGAAGAAGCAACGCGACGAAGAAGGAACAGATCAAGAGGGCACCGACAATCAGACTAACAAAAGCGGACCATTGCGAGACATCAATTTGGGTTCTCTAATAGACAATTCAAATACGGAAGCGTGTATAACTAGTGGTGGTTTCACAACGTTACATTATGAAAATCATGATACCGGGAACGGTAGTACGAATTGTCAAACAGAAGTATCTGGTACGCGAGAAGATAGTTTAGATCTTTATGCTATAAGAGACGATTGTTATCCTAACGAAGATACGGTTGATGGTACGCAAGGTGGCCAAAGAAAATTGCATCCCGAATTTAATCAAACTTTTCAAACGTTTTCGGGCCAAACAGCAGGTGCAAATATGAATTTTCAACAGACAGCTTATCAGGATTATCAGGCTTATACAAATCTTCCTTCTACGTCTAGGGTGCAATTTCAGTCGCAATTTCAACCGGTGTCGGGAAGCCCAGGTTTCTCGCATTACGCGGTCTATGGTCAAGATGGTACATCTGTGCAGGATAGTTGTCAGGTACATCCTGGACAACATTCTTCTTCCAATTACGAAGCAAACTTCGCGCAAGACGAATCGACCGGATCGCAATATACAAATTTGAATTCCGTTCAGCCTATGAACGGTGGAGTTCAACAGATAGGTAAGCTAGAACCGTTCTCGGAATTGCTATCCGGTAGGTACTCGTATTACGGCGAAATAGAGCCGCAAGCGCATGGTACTTATCATGGAAATGGAAATAAGGAAGGAGAAAAGAATCAAACGACGGATGAGCAACAATCGCAAAGTACGGAAGAATGTGACGAGAATTTTGGAGAAATCATTAAAAAATCTATGGTGGAAACTGTGTCCGCTTAAGATCTATTCATTTACGTTAATATGACGAGTGTTTGGTGGTTGTCGTCTAATGGTGATTTAAGCATGACAAAACACGTCTCCTGTGTTGCAATAATTGCATCTTGGTGACATATATATCCATATATATATGTATATATATGTATATATATTCTCAAGAGTGTTTGATAATCCGTCGATGAGTTTCGATTAAAGCAAAGAAAAAACTTTCTTAATAGAGAAAGAAAAAAAAGAATATTGGAACTGTGATAGTTCCGTTACTTCTACACTGTGCGATTAGATAAATCCGATTTTATTGTTGTTCGTGATTTTTCGAAAGAATGATCTTTTTCTTTCGTGAAGAATCACTGACGATGAACGATGAGTCCCATGGATATCGTTAGAAAAAATATTGCGGCTACATATGCGTCCGCCCGGGATGGAAATCTTGGAACGTCCTTCTTGAATAGTTTATATCGAAATCCCCTGGAGTATTTCTTCGAAGTTGAGAAAATGTTGACGATGATGTTAGATACATTGGAAGAAATATTATATCGAAGCAATGCCAAGAGAATCTGGGGCCTCGCCTGATATTTCGCCGAAGGATTATTTCAATAAGAAGAAGGTCTCCGTCGAAAATCTTTTTTTTTTTGGAGAATGGATACTCGTTTGATGCAGAACAATTGAAATAAAATCTTATATATATATATACATATATAAAAAAAAAGAAAGAAGAAAAAATAAATAAACAAAAAGAACAGAATGAGAAAAAAAAAGGAAAAGAAAAATGAAATAAAAGAAAAAGAAAATGGCGGTTATGTTACCGAAGTTAGAGTAGGTAATTAACGTGGTTGTGACCAAATAAAAACAACATGGGATCAGCATAGAAATGCGGTTTATAATTAACTAGCGATATAAATACTTGTAAAACGTAGCTCAGAGCGAACCGTATGTCTCTTTTTAAAAGGGATACTTTGGATTATATAAGAAAAACAAAAACAATTTACATATAAATATTTATTTTTTTTTGTTTTTTATTTTTATCTTTTAGTTTATCCGTTGATTCTATTTCTAGAACGAACGAACTATATAAAAGTCATACAACAAAATGAAAACATAAATTAAATAATAAAAAGTAATCGTAAAATTTGATTTTACAAATTTATAAAATGTGAATGAAATGAAAAAACAAATTAAGCAAAAAGAAACCAAAAAAAAAGAAGAAAAAGAAGAAAAAAAAAAGATTATTACGCGCATCCTCCCCACGGTTAGACACAAAAATACGACGCGATCAAACATGATGAGCGATTGTGATACTCGTGCGTATGATGCAATTTTGCACACAACCCAATGGTCATAGATTATAAGAGATATATCGCGGAACTTTTATATGCGTGATCGAGAGATCGCATTTGAAAAATGGTCTTTTCGATCGTCGATTTACACCTATTCTTCGATAATAAGAAGATATATTTAGATCATAACTCTTGTACAGTGTCCACGTTTATTAAACGAAAAAGTAAGCACAAACGTCGAAAAAAGAAAACAAAACAAAACAAAACAAAAATTATAAGAAACAAAATACTACGGCCATTTGTAATAACGCCCAAAAAAAAAAATATGAAGAAGAAGAGTAAGTAATAAAAAAGAAAGAAGAGTTTCATGGTGCTGATGTATAACTGACGCGCGCGCAAAAATGTCATTTTAAAAGTTTATAAGCGTAACTTTTGATCGAAGGTTTCTTTTTTTTTTTTTTTTTTTTTTTTTAATTGTTATTTTGAAATAGTAATTTTCTCTCTCTTTCTCTTTCTCCTTTTTTTTTATGTTTGTTTGTTTTTTTTCTTGCGTTTACGTACGTATACTACATACATACATATTTGAAAGAAGAAAGTCTCGGAGATTGAAGGCCTTAGAATAAAATGATAATAGTCTCCGACAAATTAAACGATTTGATTTAAAAAGAAAACAAAAAATTAATGAAATTCGTTCTATACGTAGATGTACATTTATTTATTAATTTTTTTCTTTTCCATATATATATATTTTCTCTTTTTCTTATTTTTTTTTGCGGCAGATGTCAACACGTATTCTTAAAACACACCCAGGTAGATTTTCCGACACAGACCTTTTCAACATCCCGGGACGTTGATCGCTAATACCCATAATTCAAATAATTCTATATATATATATATATATATATATATATAGATTTATATATATATATAAATGAGGATTAGTAATTAAATTTATACATACTTATTGCGTGGACGTGTCAACTCCCAAAACTCTCCTTCTACAAAGAAAATTGTTCCTTTAATCCTACCCTTGTTATTTATTTTTATTCTCATTGATCGGTGCCTAAACGATTAATATAATTCGTGTATTTTGGACGAGCGTTTTACAAAAATAAAAAAAAAAAATAAAAATAAATAAATAAATAAATAAATAAACAAATAAGGAAAAGGAAAAGGTCCGTCATTATAAAAATACAAAAAAGAAAAAAAAAATAAATAAATAAATAAAAAAGAAAAAGAAATAAAGACGTGTCTCTTTAAGAAGAAGGAGCAAGAAACGTCGTTTAAATACGCGTTATGTGGGATGTGACACTTCCTAATGGCATATAAATAATACATTTAAGCACGTATGTAAGTAACTTTTAGATTATTTGAGTAAAAAAAAGGCATACATAGATGATAGCGTTTTATTAAATGTTGTGAAAAAGTCTCTCGTCTCTCGTCTAACGTGTATTGTCTTTTGTGTACGCGTCTCTGTATCATTACCCATTCCTCGTGTTCTTCTTTATCTTTCTATTTCTCTTTATCTATCTATCTATCTATCTATCTCTCTTTCTCTTTCTCTTTCTCTTTCTATTTCTATTTCTATTTCTCCCTTCATTGACATAATTATCATATATCATCGTCAAAATGCATGTGTAACGCTTTATCTAAACGTTATTTAAAAAAGAACAATAAAAACAAAATCGTTATAATCTAACGAGAACGACCGATTCGATGTAATAATAATCATCGATTGTTCCGTTTGAAATCAATGATAATGACAATGATCAAATTTATCGCCAAGTTTTTTTGTTTAGGAACAATCGGAACACGCATAACTCAAAACCGCATTTCTATTCGATTGTTCTACCTTCGTTTCCCTTTTAACCTTTTGCAATAACAGCACAGACATACACGCATATACACACATTAAGCATGTAATGTCAGTTTCATTATTATCATTATCATCGTCATCGTCACCGTCATCATCGTCATCACGAACATTTTGTTCTTTTTATTTAGTATTCATTCTTTTTGTCTGTCCTTTGTCTCTATTTGTCTTTCGAATAAAATTCCAAAGAGGATTTGCCAGCCAAATAGGAAGTGATGAAAGAAATAATCGATATGCAGATACTAAAAAAAGGTATAACATTTTTAATCATTACTTTTTTATAACGTTTTTTAACAAATAATAGAAAAAGAAGTAATAGCTATTTTTAAATATGCCGCCGTTGTAATAGCTAAGCTGCGCGCGCAACAACAAGTAGAAAATGGCGTCGCAGCGGGAACATTAGAGAGTTTGTAATGTTGCAGTTTTTTATTCCCGATTATTTTGATAAAAGTCGACGTAATAGTTAATTTCATTAGTTTACATTTGCATCCGTGGAATAAACATAATAGTTTGCTTAATGTAATTAAACGAAAGGTGAACATATTTAGGAATTAGAGGTATTTGTTCGAAGGGAAATAAAAGAGTGGGGAAAGAGAATGGGTAGTGGTAGAAGAGGGATGAGGTGGGGGCTAGAATAATACCATGGCTCTTTCCAGTAGCCATAACGTACTACTACGTTAACTGTGAGGAGTGGATTGTAAAAGGAAGAGGAATAGAGGTAGGGACGGATAGTAAAGGGAATGGGGATGGGGATGGGGAAGGGGAGGAGGAGGAGGTGGAGGTGAGTACTAGCCCGGTAGTGGTGGTGTGTTTCTCGTGTCGCCAATGAACGTCTGGAAGTTGGCGTTTGTCCGTGAGCCAGCAAGGAGCTTCCTATTTACGTTTTTTAGTTAAATTCGTTTATTATTTGTGTTTGTCTCTTCGTATTTCGTTAGAAACGGGAATAGAATTTAAACAGCGTGTGAATGAATAAGAAAACGTTGGCGAATAACAACACGCTGAGAAATATCACTGTATATAATAATATTCCGAAGGTTTTGGTTGTATGGTGGTTTTTACGGGAAATTTGAAGAGTGTGAGAAGAGAGTGGTATATTGCAATATATAGTGTGTTATATAGTGTAGCGACGGCGTGTAAGCCCAAGTGCCGTTGACGTTTCGTGTGTCAGTGTCCTCTCTGTTTCTTCTCTTTCTTTCCTCTCCTTTCCTCTCATTCGGCATCATTTACCTTTACTTAGTTTTCTTTCTTTTTCTTTCTTATACAAAAATCTATTTTCCTCTCCTTTCTGGCGTGCATCGTGAAGGGATAGGACTACGAAAGAATAGAAACAGAGAGAGAGAGAGAGGGAAAAAGAGAGAGAGAGATTCTCTTTTATTGCCATGCCAAATGACAGGTGCGAGGCGCAGTTGGATAGATTGTCCTCGTTGGTGTTTGGCATCGTAGGGTACGCGATCGTTCCCGCATTTTTCCAAAATATTGCCGTATTCGCAGAATGACGAGATCACGTATAGCATTGTTTAAGTTTATTCGGAAGTGCGCCGAGGAAGAGGATAAAAAACAACAGCAAAGACGAAAACCACGAAGAAGACCAGGAGGAGTTAGGATTCCCTCGCGCTAGCGACAGGCTATGAGCGCTGACAATGGGGACGACTCCTTGGTAATTATCATACCTTTCTCTTTTTCTCTTTAGATTTTAAAACAACCTATTTTATACTCGGTTTTTTTCTTATTTTTTTTTTTTTTTTTCTATATCTTTCTCTTTCTTTCCTTTTTACACGCACATCATATACATGGGTACGCACGCATGCACGAACACACACATATACTCATATGGTCGTTCTCCTCTCGCACGCTCGCGTGCGTACACTCAGACGGTTCTCTATCGTTTCCGTTTTCATCGTCTCGTTTTGTTATACTCCACAGCCATGAGACACACCGAAGCGTTATTATTCGTTATCGTGTTCGGATTGCTGCATATATATGTATACTTTTCAATGCACCTGATCAAACGTCTAATTACGAATTTCTATACATAAATAGATCCCCGATGAAACATCGTAGGTCATCTCTAGATCGTTATCTTTTATTATTATTATTATTATTATTATTATTATTATTATTATTGTTAACAATCGTTGGGATGTTTGAAATTGAAGAATTTCTCAACACGTGATACTATTTGTTTTTCGATATTATTATTATTATTATTATTATTATTATTAATTTCTTTTTTTTTTGGTTAATTTAATTAAAAGTTTTGTTTTTTTTGTTTAATTTGGAAGAGCAAGAATCACAAAATGTGAGGATTATTATTTTCGCGGGAAATTCGAATTCAATTTGAATCGTTATTTCTCTTCCGGTATGTCTTTATACGAGATTGTATGACGTATATACTCGAGCAGGCGCTTTCACCTAAAAGCGAAACGTTAACGATGTTGCGTCCTTCCTTCTTATGACCCTTTCGTGAAAGTAAAATCATTTCAATGCTGGCAAATTTTGTATACGTTGATAATGTTATTTTTCGTATTCAAGAAGTTTGATAAATTTTACATTAATTATCATAATAATTTACATTGCAGTTCTTCATTAAGAAATATATTTATTTATATATACATTTGTATTCGTGTATTAGAATAATGAAGAATTTCAAACAAACACTTACAACGATTTATATTTGCAATAACATTTGTCAACGTATAATTTTACACCCAGGATTTCACAAAATTTTCCACTCAATGTCCCTCTTTGCATGAACAAATATTTTCGCAACTATTACTGTGAGAGACAATTCTCTTTTACTATTCTAAACTCATAGACACATATTATACATTTGTAATATTACAAAACTGGTTTTGAATGAATTTTTTTTCTTTATGTCATCGTTCTCTGCGTTCTGGAATTTGTTCATTTTGTTTAAATTTATCTTATATTCAATTATATTAAACCCCATATGGGGAACTTACGATCCACAATTTGAGAAACCCTGGTTTATCTATGGAATAAAATTCTACGTAACAACGTGGCACGTGGTTAAAGTCACGTGAGTTTCTCGAATCATTCATCGAATTCAATTTGTTATTTTGAACATTGATATTTTTTATAATTAATATACGAACACACGTATAATCATACTTCATTCGTGTATATATATACACACTCGTATGCAAACACATGCGTGTATACTTCTTACAAGCATATTTATTTTGATCGCAAATATTTGTAGATTCATAGAACGACGAGTTCATAATTTGTGATCAAACGAGTAACTTGATGTTTCTTCTTTCAGTTAAACATTTATTTCAATTTATAGTAGAATCGTATAAAACCATATATACGTGTAAACGTTAATTCACATTTCATTGGATGGTCTTTTGAATTTTTATGTTACCAATCGATTCTTCTTCTTCTTTTTTTTTCTTTTTTATTTTACTATTCCAGTCACAGTCTGAATTTGGGAGGGTCGTGCGCGTTCAACGACATCAACACGAGTCAATGAAACCTTCCGAATTAAGGTTGTAAGTTAAAATATTATGACACGATTTGACTATATTTATATGCTCGTTAATTTTATCGAACACTCTTTTTTCTATTCTTTGTTTTTTCTTTTTTTTTTTTTTTAACAAGTTCTTTCGTGGTCTATAGAATCTTGCAACGGAAGTATAAGATTTCTTTTTTTTTTCCCCTATAATTTATGTACATATATAAATATGTAACGTAATGTTCGTAATTATAAGTTTGATCTTATAATACTACTTTCAGTCTTGTAATATTACTCTCGTTAGTTTATTTATATATATAGATTCATGGGATCCATGGATATCGATTTACGTAAAACTTATCTTCGCATTGAAATGAAAGTGAATGCAAATAGTAGTACTATTTGTAAGTTACTTGGTAGTCAATTGAAACTCACCGAGTATGTATGTTGTTTATATTTTATGTTAGGCACATAGTATAGTAATCTCAAGGCTAAGCAAACATTTAAGGACACTTGGAATGCATTAGTAGTATTTTCGTATGAACGAATGAAAAAATATTATTCCATTTAAAAGGACACACATGCACATACACAACATATATATTTTTTAAACGTAACTTGAATATTTTTATTTACAACAATTTGGAACAATTTCAAATTCGGGCTTTTATAATTCATATTAATTATTAAAATGATACATTATTTATTATTTGTAATTTTCATTATTTATTTAATTGGAAGTAATATAAGAAAATTGCATTTATTGGGAAAGGTAGCTGCAATATTTTTATTTTCAACAATTTGGAAAAATTCAAAACATGCTCGGGTTCTTACATTTTATATTAATTATAAATATGATAAATTATTAGTTATTTATAATTCTAATTATTTATTTAATTGGAAGTAATATAAGAAAATTGCATTTATTGGGAAAGGTAGCTGCAATATTTTTATTTTCAACAATTTGGAATAATTCAAACCATGTTCGGACTCTTACATTTTATATTAATTATTTAAAATGATAAATTATTTATTGTTCATAATTTTAATTATTTATTTAATTGGAAGTAATATAAGAAAATTGCATTTATTGGGAAAGGTAGCTGCAATATTTTTATTTTCAACAAATTGGAACAATTCAAAACATACTCGGGTTCTTACATTTTATATTAATTATAAATATGATAAATTATTAGTTATTTATAATTCTAATTATTTATTTAATTAAAAGTAATATAAGAAAATCGTGTTTATTGGGAAAGGTAGGCCGGGGTAAAGCGTTTATGAGAATGCAAAGTAATACGTGTCAAGTCTAACGAGGCGCGTCGGATCTCGTC